AAGACAATTTCCAATACCTTTATGTTTTGGCATGACAATCAATAAGAGTCAAGGCCAAACATTATCATTTGTTGGATTATTCTTGACCAAATCGGTATTCACTCACGATCAACTTTATGTTGCAGTTTCACAAGTGAAAACTAAGAGAGGACTGAAGTATTAGTTTTAGATGACAACGGTAACCCTTGCAATTGTACTAAAAATGTGGTTTACCCTGAAGTTTTCCAAAAAATTTGGATTTAATTTATACATTTGTACATTCTTTTCAATTTTTATATACATCAATTTTAGTTAGCATACTCTATTTATATTGTATCTAAAATTCTACTCCCTCCGTTCTCAAAAACACTTCCTCTTTCATATTTTTCATTTTCAACAAAACACTTCCCTTTTCTATTAAAAAACCACTTTTACCCTTACTTTTTCATACCTTACCTATCACATCATACTTTTTCTCTAATAATCTATCAATCACATCTTACTTTTACCCATCACATCAGGGGCAAAATTGGAAATCAACTATAATTTAACACTTCCTTATTTTTGCCCCAAATCCAAATGGGAAGTGTTTTTCCAAACGGAGGAAATATATTATATCTACTTTTATTTTATAATTATTTACTTAAAATAAAAAATTAGCAGAGTTAAAAATAATATGCGTTCGACCCCGTGCGTTGCACTGGTTAAATACTAGTACAGTTAATAAAGATGACTACATATTTTATAAGATTTCTGAAGTCTTTACATAATTACGTACATTGAAAGTTAATTTCTTTTGTAGAAGCACCACTTTTTTAGACAATAATCAGTTTCAAACCAAATGGCCACGCACAATTTCTCCGGTCTGTGTGTGAAATGACTGCCCTTTTTTCTAAATTTTATTTTCATTTGAAGAAAGTTTACATTTGCACTATGTTTGGTTCAAGGAATTTGAGAGGGAAAGGAAAAAAAAAAGAGAAGTAAAACATTTTTTCTTGTTTGGTTAGAGAGGAAAAGAAAAAAAAAGTGGAAGAAAAAGAAAATGAGAAAGCAAAATGTATTAAGAGGATGGAAAACCAAATTCCTCTTATTTTGGTGAGGAAACTAATGGAAAACCATTTTCTTTTTCTTTTCCTTCCAAATTCCATGAACCAAACATAGTGTTGATGTCAAAAATGTATTGTGTAGATATAGAGTATTACAGAGTATCATTGAAGTAAAAGCACACTTAAGTAGTTGAATGTCATCAATTATATAAACAACTTAATTTTATTTAAGTAATCACACATACCTGATTAGTTGAATGTCATTTTCAGGATTTAGGTGTGCAACCCTAAGTACCCTTTTGGAGATGAAAATTAACCATTAGAGAGAAACACTTAGCTTACTGTCATCCTAGAGTTCATTAGTTCAAGGGTATACAATTAGCTAGCTGCATGTGAGACTCTAATTGTTGCATTATTTTTTGCAATTAATGTGAGCAACAAATTAGGTTGATCGGCATTTAATGTGGAACAATACAGTTGAGACCTAACTAACTTACTACTTCTCCCCGTCCTATAATTTCTTTCCCGTTTTAACCTGACAAGCTAGGGATCAGTCTTAAGACCGAACCATTATATATTTCTGAGGTGGTCGTAGTATCACGGCATGCAACAACAATGAAGTCCCTTATTACTAGTCTTCTGGGACTCCTCCTCCTCCTTCATGGTTTATCCTATGATGCTGCTGCTGACGTCATTGATACCTCCTCAGCTGTCCAGGTTGTTGGATTCGGAGAATGTGCCGACTGCAAAGACCATAACATCGACCCTAGTGACGCCTTTTCTGGTACGAATAATGTATACATATATATGTGTATGGTCATGTTGTTTAATTTGTTCTTGGAATGTTTAAAAAAAACATTTTAAGCTTGAAATTATGGAGCTTTTTGTTGTTGTTGATTGCAGAGCTTCGTGTAAGAATTGACTGCAAGCTCCAGAACGGGGAGATGAAGACGAGATCATCAGAAGCAGGAGCTCTGCTGGATGGAGAAGGCAAGTTCAGAGTGTGGTTGCCCAAGGAGATGGTTGTTGTGAGTGGGGAAGGAGGAGGGAGGACAAAGGAGGAGTGCTATGCCCAGCTGCACCACGCCGCTTGGGCTTCACCATGCCCGGCTCACCAGGGAATTGAAGCCTCCAAGATTGTGGTCAAGACCAAACCAGACGGGCAACGTGTGCTCGAACCAGCTGCTGGGAAAGTGAAGTTCTCAGCTGCCATATGCACCTCTGCTTTCTTGAAGATTTACAAAAAGCCCTTCTTCAAGAAACCCCTCCCCCATCTTCCTTCCATCCCCATTTACAAGCCAAAACCAAAACCACCCATTTACATTCCTCATGTGCCCATTTACAAGCCAAAACCAAAGGTACTTTTTCCATCGCCGCCTCCGCCGTATTACGAGCCAAAGCAGAAGTCGCCGGTTTATGTCCCTCACACCAAAGAGCCATGAAGTCTTAATAAATAGGCTGGCTATGCCCTTTACGTACAATATGTTAAGTTTAATTTCTTCATGCAGTGATTATATTCCATCGGTCAGCTAAAGATAATTTATATTGTGGGGTTGTGTAATTTATATATACTAGCTAATAGCTATATACTCCGATATATACTGTACTGTATGTAATAAAAGGGAATGGAGAAGATTATTGTGTTTATTTGATGGAATCTATAAGCAAGATTTGGTGGATTTTCGATCAAACTTAGCTTGTTTGAATGTGTGTTTATGGGCTTCAAAGATTTGGTGGATTTTCATCTAGTTTCATGTCGAATGTTTTGTGAAAGGATTTAGGGTGGAAAAAAAATCTTTCTTTTCCGTATAAAAAGTATCTTTTTTTTTACTCCCTCCGTCCCATTTTATATCGCCTGTTTCGGTTTACAATGTTTGACTGAAGTTATTTTCAAATCATTTTATATGACAAATGGTATAGAATTAAAAAATAAAAATTACATATCAAAATACTACATCAAAAGATCTACAAAACTAGTAGTGACAACAATATTTTATTTTATCAATTTGCTAACGAAAATAGAGAAAGAAAGTGAATGAAGTTTTACCCTGTGAATAGTGAACAGACATTATAATTTGGAACGGAGGGAGTACAACCTTAGGCTGAAAAATCGACAAATGCAACCTGTTTAAATATGGAATTCAAATTATAGAATAAGAGAAGAGAATTTTGTAATTTAATTGTACAAAAGTATGTGGATTTGAAATTGATAGTGTCAAAAATAAATTAAAATTGGGGAATTCAATTTAATCCAAATAATTCCATAAAATTTCAATTTCTAATTCAATTTTCAATTCCGTCAATTTTAATATTATAGATTAATTTTAAAAACGCTAATGCTAAATGTTGCTGTAAGATATCCTTTTTAAAACGCTAATGTCAATCTCTAACCATGGACATTTTTTCTCCGTTTATTTTATAAGTCGGACGATTTTTTCTTTTTTGCTCAAACCAGAATCATATATTATATTACTAAAATTTTCTAGGTCCCAACTCCCAATCCATCCTAATGAGCTTAAGAATTGAAGGTTGAGTGTTGGTACACTAAGTGCCTGCTTGGAATTAACGTTAGCGTTTTCAAAGTAATATGCACCGTTATAATTGTATCCAAAATAATAACGTTAATTTCTAATGTTATTTTCAAACAAGTCCTAAGTAGTCACGGATTTAGAGACAATTGGCCTTAAAAAACATTGTCACTACACCACTATGTCCTTTGTCTTTTACTCCATCCGTCCACAAATAAATTTCTCGTTCGTTATTCACAGGGTCAAACTTTATTCACTTTGTTGTAGGGGTGGGTTCGGTTTTGGCGGTTCGGTTTTTACCCAAAACCAAAGACAAAACGGAAGGTAAATTGGCGGTTCAGTTCGATTTTGCATAAAAAATATGAAAACCGTTGGTTATTCGGTTCGGTTTTTTACGGTTTTTATTTCGGTTTTTTCGGTTTATAAAAGTAGAAATTTATAAGCATTAAAATATTATAAAACACTAATTCGATGAAACAATAAAAATATGTAGTGTTAGCTTTGGTTTTTTTGTTTGATTTTTACACAAAAACAAAAAACCAAACAGAAGGTTATTGCTCCTTTTAGTTTAATTTTACATAAAAAAGATGTGTGGAGTGCCAACAAACATTTAAAAGATTCTAAATACTTCCAAAAACATCGTATGTAAAATCAATTATGAAGAATTTATATTTTTTGTATAATACTTTCAATTTCATTATAACATCAAAGTATTTTTTATGTAAATATGTAAATTAGGCGTATCAATTTTTAATCTTAATATGATTCTATATTAGGATTACTATTGGTGTTCATATATATTCTTAAGTTTTTTAAAGTTTATAATAATATGGCTAGAATATTTAATTAATAGATGAGAAAATAATTTAAATCGACTAGTAATTTATTTGCATTTATATTTCTATGATTTTTCTACATATCACATATATTCATATAAATAAAGTGAAGTATCTAAAAAAGTTCGGTTTATTCGGTTCGGTTCGGTTTTTCAAAGTGAAAACCAAAACGGAACCAAATACTAACGGTTCGGTTCGGTTTTTTTACATTCGGTTTCGGTTTTTTTGGTTCGGTTTTTTTACTAGCTCGTTTCGATCGATTTCGGTTCGGTTTGCGGTTTTCGGTTATTCCAACCCAGCCCTACTTTGTTGGCCTATTTTCGTCACCAATATAATCATGTCACATTTATTTTTTTAGATCTTTTGATGATTAGTTTTTTAATATGTAATTTTTATTTTTAAATTTCACAACATTTTTCATATAAAATGATTTAAAAATAATTTTAGTCAAACATCATAACGCGTAACGGGAAATTTATTCGTAGATGGAGAGAGTAATTTTCTCCATAAAAACAAAGAATTTGGGCATGAAAAACAAAAAGATGAGATTTTTATACACTCTTAAAAAAGGTACAAAATGTACGTCAGATGTTCAATGTGAACCCCAAACTCACTGGCGTCAAAATTTCGACGTGTAAAAGTTAACGAATCCGAGCCGCAGTGAAGCCCTCCGACAAGGCGACGACGACAACGGCGGCAGCGGCGGCTATTATTGCAGAGCTCTCCCAGTCTATCAAATCTTTCCTCATATTTTACATCTTTCCCCTATCCCCTTCGCGAATCCTTTCCGATCTTCTCCCTTCATTGTTTTTTTTTGCACAATTGAATCCCCTCCTGAGTTAACATTTATCCTCCAAATCATCCGATTTCTTTGTCGAGATCGGCACGATTGTGGTTCGAACGTTTGGCGGGAAATCAATCATATTTGTCGTCCTCTCTTATTTTCGTCATCTTGGGAGGTTGATTGATTATTAGGTTTTATGAATTCAAAATCCAGAAACTGCGCCAGTGCTTCCCTCTCTGCTTTTGGACTCGTATCACCGATGTGTATGCGTTGACGGTGCAGATAGGAAGACTAATGGCAGTTTCCGACAACGAGAGAGGGCTAATTCTGGCAATGCTGTCAAGCCTGTTTATCGGGACGAGCTTTATCTTGAAGAAGAAAGGGCTTAAGCGTGCTGCTGCTGTCGGTACAGGAGCAGGTCCTAGTTGAATCCCATCTTTATTTTTCTTTAAATTCATTCTTGTTTTCATTTTATGTGCTCATTTATCTGTTTTGGGCTTTTTTGTTTTGCTTCATTATATATTGAAAGCATTATGTAATGTTTTCTGCAGGCGTAGGAGGTCATTCTTACTTGCTAGAACCACTTTGGTGGTCTGGCATGATCACTAGTAAGTAGAGCTAGCATTCTCTCTTTTTTTGCAAGTGCAGCCCTGGTCCTTATTTCTTGTAAATTACTCTTGACATGTAGTGATTGTGGGGGAAATTGCAAATTTTGTGGCATATATTTATGCCCCGGCTATTCTTGTTACCCCCCTTGGTGCGTTAAGTATAATAGTGAGGTAAACATTTCTTTATGTACGAATCTGTATCGGAATTTTGGGTGCTTTTGAAGAAGCTAACTGCAGTAGTGATGTATTGAGGCAGTGCTGTTTTGGCACACTTTTTGTTGAAGGAGCGGCTGCGCAAACTATGCATACTTGGATGTGGTTCTTGTATTATAGGGTCTGTGATCATTGTAATGCATGCTCCTCAGGAAAGTATGCCAACTTCGATTGAAGAAATTTGGAATTTAGCTACTCAACCAGGTCATCACCTTCTGTTTGTCTGTCTTTTTCACCTGTCCGGTTGCAATTGTAAAGCTATAGTCTGAATTACAAAGAGTGTGGCAGTCATGTTTTCTGATGTTTTTTCATGCAACTTCTTTCAACAGCATTCTCAATATACGTTGCAGCAACACTAGTGATAGTGCTAGCATTGATATTGTACTTTGAAACTCGGTATGGGGACACAAACTTACTGGTTTACTTGGGTATCTGTTCCTTAATGGGTTCGCTGACGGTAACAGTTTCAACACTTATTTTTTTGCCAAAAAAAAAACTCATTTCAACAGGGGGCTTAATTGGTGGTTTATACTCTCCTTGCTCAATTGCAGGTTGTGAGCATAAAAGCCATTGGAATTGCAATAAAACTTTCTCTAGAGGGAACAAGTCAAATTGCATACCCTCAGACCTTGTTTTTCCTCATGGTTACAGTGATATGTGGGATCACCCAGCTGAATTATCTAAACAAGGTACTGTTCTTGTAAATACCGTAGTACATGTTTTGTACTTCCCTACAGGATCTAATTCTTTATTCACAACCAAAACAAATTATGCTCTTGTTTTTCGTCATCCATACATTCTGCTAACCACATAAACCTTTGATATTGCAATGCTATGATTATGAAATGCTGATGTGTTTATGCTGGATTTATATAGGCGCTTGACACATTCAATACAGCAATTGTTTCTCCCGTATACTATGTACTGTTCACTACCCTAACCATCGTTGCCAATGCAATCATGTTCAAGGTTGTTTAATGTTTTATGCAATAATGTTCAAGGTAGTTTAATGTTGAAGGAAATTTGCGAGTTTTAAAAACCACCCATACTCTCAAATTTTTATGCAGGATTGGGCTGGGCAAGATGTTAGCAGCATAGCATCTGAGTTATGTGGATTCGTGACCGTACTTTCTGGAATGATCATACTTCATGTTGCTAAAGAGCAAGAACCAACAAATGCACCAGGTAAGAATTCATTTCCTTATTGCACGACGGGGTTTTCTTACCAACATTTATCGTCCTAGGTAACATAATCGATTTATCTTTGGGTGCAGGAACCATTGTTTGGTATGATGAAGAACACACGAAGGATATGGAGGATGCACATTTCATTACACTGCGCAGTTCCGACTATTTCACCTGATTTTATTGCACTGCACATCTCATTTTGCTCACTATATAAATGCACAGGTAAACGAGGGAGAAAAGTGATTTTTTTTCTTCTCAACTTGGTGTGCATTATGTGAAGAAGTTTTAGTGGGACACTTACAGGTTTATGTAATATATGCAATTTGATGAAAGATAGTGTGCTCTGCACTTCATCAAATTTACATCAATGCGAGTGATTGGGATATCCAAATACCTATTGGCTTTGAGCTTTCATATTGTATGTAAATTGTGGAAGTATCTGAAAATGTATGAAAGAGCACGGATCACCTTTTTATGTGAATAAGCTAGTTGATTGTTTTTATATACTCCCTCTATTCAAATTTAAATTACTTTTATGATTTTTTAGGATACATCAAAAGTTGGCCAATATCATATCTATATCATAACTGCATATCTGATTTTAAGTTTACATATTTTATTTTTCAACATTATTCTTAAACTCTGCTAAGTCAAACTAAGACGATTAATGATGAGAGTATTTCTTTTTACATCATTACTAAGTATATATTATTATTATTATTAGTATTACTATTATTATTATTATTATTTGTGTCATTCTCTCATGTCCCAAAAATAGTTGACAGATAGGTTATTGTTTGTAATTTGTATTTGAAAAATTTGACAAGTGTTTGACACGTGTCTAATTTTTTACAAATATGAATAGTGTGTAATTATTTTTGAATGTAAATCACAAATTAAATCAAATTTATTTGTTTCCTACACAATTTTCAAGTCATGTAATGACTTAGTTGCGTTCCTTCACCTAATCTAATTTTTTGAAAATTTGGTCTAATCTGTTCTAGTTTGATCTGATTACAATTATAATTAAAACTGTTTGTGATATAAGTTGAACGGAATGCTACCTTAGTTTAAGACTTATGGACTTACTAGTTTACTTCCAATAATATTTTTCAAGTCATCTAATGATTCCGATTAAGACTTCTAAATTTACTATTTCAATTCCAATAATAATTTTATTCTATTCTCCATATCAGCTTATTTTTCAATGACAATTTACCTTTAGTGTTTACTTTATACACCTACTCGGCTACTCCTCTTCTTTGGTAATTTGCCTATTTTAATATTGAGTGCTTCTATGCTACAACTTGAATGCATATTATTATTGTTAACAGAGTATAATATCATATTTATTTTTTTAATATAAATAATATTTTCTTCATTTCAATTTAAATTATACAATGTTGACTGAAATTATTTCAACATAATTTAATTGAAAATTAGGGGCTGTTTGGCAACTTCTGAATGGGTAAGTGCTGAACCAGTAAGAGGTCTGAATCATTAAGTGCTGAACCAGTAAGAGGTCTGAACCATTAAGAGCTAGTATATTGCTTAACTATTCAGAGGCAAATGTCTGATCAATTCAGATAACAGCTCTTAACCATTCAGACTCTGTATAATACTTAACCATTCAGAGGCAAATCTCTTAACCATTTAGACATCTGAACCATTAAGAGGCTGAAACAAACAGTCTGAACCATTAAGTGCTGAATCATTCAGACATCTGAATCATTAAGAGGCTGAAACAAACATCCCTTAGTGTGTTATTAGAAACCAGTGACACCTCTTGTCAACGGGTTTGTTATGTTTATTTATTTCCGAAAATACTTCGAATTATTCAGATTTTGGTTTAAAGAAAACAAAAAATACGGAATAGCCTATTTTAGAAACGTGCCCTAATACGATTGCCCTTTTCTAGTCGGAATAAGAATTACACAGTACAGTCTTTTTCCTCTAATACGCACCGTCAGATCGAATCGGATACCGTTTCCTAATAATATCTGCGCCGTCCACTGCCGCCTCCATATATCTATCTATCGCCCACCAATC